TCTTTTTTTAATTGCTGACTGTATTAAGATGTCCCCTCCACCCCCACCATGCTTGCTCCCCTCCACCCAGCCCCCGCCCCACCCCAGGCCTTCACCGCACTATTGTCTGTGTCCGTGGGCTGTGCCTATATGCACACAAGGCTTTGGTTCATCCTTTCTGGTCCCCCCCGCCCCGAGATCAGTCAGTCTTGATTCCCGAGGAGTTTTGAAGTTGGGAGTTTACACTGTGGGTAAAGACAGTAGGACATGTCTGTGGGGGGTTGAAAAGTTTAGAATTTCGGGGGCATCAGGCTAGAGTAGCGCTGTTGCACCTGGCTCAGACAGCTGCAGAAAAAGCAGTTCTTCACATAAATGCTGCCCACGATCTGCTAACGGATTTGTCCAGGCGCGTGATTCAGGGTTTTTATTGAAGCAGCCTCTTGTGCCCCTCAAACCTGTTTAAAACTCACATCCTTCTCACAGGCTCTTGGCTCCATCTGTTGCTTAACATCCTTTCCTCGTCTCTTTGCTAATCTCTCCTTATGAACAGCTTCGGGGGTTTCCTCGCCCACCATCCTGGAGAAACACCTGCTGGCTAGCTTGGTCGAGAATGGCAGATAAGTTTCCTGTTTGAACTCTGTTGACGAAAAATTGATTTCGTGTTCGATGTGTACAAACCCGCCGGCTGCTATTTGCTCAGCAAATCTGCAGTTTTAAACGATTAGTCTCTGAGATGTAATACGCCCTGCATAACAGCCAGGGGCTGTTTAATGTCGTGTTCTGTGTCACAGCTGCTGAAAACAGTTAAATGGGTTTCGAATGAGCACACACTTGTCTGTTTGCGTAGATTTGTAAAGAGGACATGTTTGCACATTGGGGTGACTGATTCTTCTCGTGCCTGGGGCCAGGGAGGCGATTAGGTCTTTAAAAAAGCTGTTATCTAGTTCATTCTGCTTCAGAAAAACAAAAGCTTCTGACACTAGATCACTCCCAGGCGTTCCTGCGTTCCTAATAGAATGTAAGAGACAGAGGCGGTGGCAGAGAAGTTTCCTGATGAAAAGAGCAACAAGTTATGGTGACGAACTGGTTCTGGGGCTTTCAGACCCGAGGGTCTCTCCTCACTAGAGCCTGGATTCAAATGGTCCAGTGGTGTGGATGGATGCTGGGCTTTTCTGTCGGCGCAGGAGTTGGGAATGTGTTTGTGGGGGCGGGCGGGAGCAGCGAACCTCAGCCCACAGGGTCCTGGCTGAGATGGGAGAGCTGCCTTCCCTTGGCCTCTCGGGTGAAGGGGCCGTGTCAAAGTTCTCCTGTTATCACAGCAGCGTCACACGCTCCGGGGACTGATTGGGAGGTAACTGAGGAGCAGGAAGCGCGGGGAAGGAGTGAAGCAATGTCCCTGACTGCGCTGTCGGTCACGTCTGGCTTTTCCTCCGGGCGCCCTGCAGGCTGATAGGCCGCCTCATTAATTTCCACTCCGGGAGATAGAGACGGAGACAGGAGGGCATTTTCTTGACTTCTCTCCTTCGCTCCTCTTGTCCTCCACTCTGACTCAGCTGTTATTTCCATGGTCACAGCCTCGGCCTTGCCATCAGCACTAACTCCTCCCTTCCTTGATCTCGGCCATAGGCGTCCACATCGTGGACGGCCACCTCCTATTTTCTGGCTCACTCCTCCGGGGCCCAGACCCAGCAATCCTCCCGCCTGGTCGTTACCTACCAGCCATCAATTCCACCACCTTTCCCGTGTCTGACCCTCTCGGCTCCCTGCTTACCAGCTTACATTCCAGGGTCCCATGGTCATCACTCACCTGGCCTTCTCCCCTCTGTCACCGTCCTTTTATAAGACCCTGGGGAAGTCCACCTCTCACAGCAGAACATGGAGAAACGCACCCAACCTCGCTCACTGTTCTGAAAATTCATGACCACCCGGTGCAAGTTGGCCCTTTCATACCATTTTCCCCGCTCCCTGCCTCCGCCCCCTTCCGGAGGGACGATGCCATGCCGTCTGCCTTGTCCGTGTAGTCAGGGGCTCCTCTCCCGTTCTCGCTTTCACCCACGATCTTGCTTGTATTTTCCTGGGAAAATGAAAGAAGTGAGAGGAGAACTTCCATGTGCTCCCAGCAGCCCAGCGCTCTTTCCTCTCGGACTTGAAGCGGTACACGTGGCCCACGCCCATGTGTGTGCTCCTGTCTAAGAACAACTCTGCCACCTGGGCCGCAGATGTACACCCCGCATCTTCTCACCTACTGTGTCATTCCCGTTACAGCATAGAAACAGGCTATCGTCTTTCTCTTCTCAATATCCCTCCCTGTCTCGCCCTCGCCAGTGTGGCTCAGTGGATAGAGTGTTGGCCCATGGACTAAAGGGTCCTGGGTTAGGTTCTGGTCAAGGGCAAATACCTCAGTTGCAGGCTCCATCCTGGCCCTGTCGGGGCTCATGCGGGAGGCAACCAATCGATGTGTTTCTCTCACATCAGTGTTTCTCCCCCTCTCTTCCACTCTCTCTAAAAAATCAATGGAAAAATATTCTCGGATGAGGATTAACAACAAAAAAAATCCCTCTCTTCACCCATCTACCACCCCATTTCTTTGTGTGTTTGTTTGTTTGTTTTTCCAGGGCAACTTAAGAAAAAGCTGTCTGCTCACCAGCTCCTTTCCTTGGTCAGGGCCTTGTTCCATAGGCCAGGGAGCAGCACTGACATTATGCGTGCAGGCCACACCACTCACTCAATATAGACGGTGTCCCCTGGAGTGGGCAGCAGTCTCTTAAGTCAACTTCAGCCAAGCATTTGTCCTCCCTGCTCCCCAGACGGCCCTGTGTGATGTCCCCAGTGCCTGCCCTGTGACCAGCGTAGGGCTTCTGCTCAGGGCGCATTTTCTTTCCGTAGCAGCAGCACCTCCTTGCTGGTTACTCCCTGATCTTTGAAGCACTGTGACCTCTGAGCTGCTGGGGCACCATCTCTCGTGGTCTTTCTCCTGTTTGATTCGCTCCTCCTCACCTTCCTGACCTCCAGACAGCGGTGTGCCCAGGACCCAGTTTTCAAACCTTTCCTCTTCTTTTTTTCTTTTAAAAAAATATATCTTATTGATTTTTTTCAGAGAGGAAGGGAGAGGGATAGAGAGTTAGAAACATCGATAATAGAGAAACATCGATCAGCTACTTCCTGCACACTCCCTGCTGGGGATGTGCCCGCAACCCAGGTACATGCCCTTGACCGGAATCGTACCTGGGACCCTTCAGTCCGCAGGCTGACGCTCTATCCACTGAGCCACACTGGTCAGGACCCTTTTCTCTTCTTGATCTACACTCACTCCCTAGGTGACCTCATCTAGTCTCATTACATTTAAAACCAACCAGCTGATGGATTCTGAATCTGGTACCTACTTCTTCCCTAAACTCACATTGCATGTGCTTGACTGTCTGCCTGGTGTGTCCTCCTGAATGCCAGTGGTCCTATCAGAACCAGAGTCTCTAGAACCAAACAGTTCTTCTTTTACTCCAAACTTAATTCTTCTGAAGAGACGATTCTTCATCCTCTCTAAGGTGCTGAAGGTGCCCAGTTCATCATAGGCATTTAATTAATGTTTATGCGGGGAGAAAAAATGAATGGAGACTCACAATTGTATTCATTTTGAAAGCTGATATTAGATGATTTCCTACAATCCCAAGGGAATCATGATTTTTGAAGAACATTTATTATGACTTGATCCAAACAACAAATACTTTTCTAAGAAAATGGTTATGGTTTGCTGATAGAGCGCTTTTACAGATTTACACGTTAGGAGCCTGCACACATGGCCTCCGAATTGGTACGTGTTGGTAGGTGGTCTCCATGGCTGCAGACTTATCTGCGTCTTTCGCCTGCCCCTGTAGATATGAATGCCACGGTTCGCAGGATTGACCAGTTAACCAACATCTTGGCGCCCATGGCTGTTGGCCAGATTATGACCTTTGGCTCCGCGGTCATTGGCTGTGGCTTCATTTCCGGGTGGAATCTGGTGTCCATGTGCGTGGAGTACTTTCTGCTCTGGAAGGTTTACCAGAAGACCCCTGCGTTAGCCGTGAAAGCCACTCTCAAAGTGGAGGAAGCTGAGCTGAAACAGCTGAATTTACACAAAGGTAAATCCAACACAACGATCAATCCTTTCACTTTGCTGTCCAGACCTTAGGTGTTGGGGAAGCCCAGACTGTTTTTAATTTATATCAGAGTTTATTCCCCCCGAAGGCCTGCATGAGGCTGCACATGCCACTTTGGTGGGCGAGTCACCACCCAGGCTTCGGAGGGCCTGAGGGAGGACTCTCCGGGGGTTGGAAAGGGACCCCTGGCCGTCTTCCTTCCTGAGCAGTAGACACAGAGGGGCAGCTAATTGAGGGGTGGCTGAACAAAGTGGAGCCATAGGAATGGGAAGAAAGCTGAGAAGAGCAGAATTCCTAGGAGTCACACGGTGGAAGGGAGCGAGGACCTGAAGGTGGCTATTCCCCGAGAAGAGGAAGATGGGCTTCCAGACAATGGAGCCTGAACAGGTTCCCCAAATCCGATGCGTTGTTCGCCCCGACAGCCACTGTGCTTGTCGCTGATGTGGCCTCCTGAATGTCAGTGATCCTATCGGAACAAAGTCTCTAGAACCAAACGTTTCTTCTTTTGCCCCAAACTGAGTTCTTCTGAAGGGGCGGTTCTCCGTTCTCTTTATGGTGCCGAAGGGGCCCAGCCCATCACAGGCATTCAATTAATGTTTGCATCTGATGAGTTTTACTTCGGTGGGCGTTGAGTTTCAAAGAGAGCAGGTGGATCGAAATCAACAGCGTTTTGTTTATGTAACGCAGTTGCCACTGGGAGCTGGTTCCTGGGCTGTGATGCCCAGAGGAGTAGAAGAAAATGCCTCTTCCACTGTAGTAGCCTGGGCCCCCATGGGGGGGAAAGGGG